TTGGTCTAATGCTGGTTCCCCAGATTTATGTCTGGGGTCCATGAGCTCCCACATGGTCAGGTCAGCTGTTTCCATGTGTTTCCCCATCATGGCCTTGACCCATTTGCTCATCCCTTCACCCAGTCTCCAACTGGATTATAAGAGTTGGGCTCAGTGCTTAGCTGTGGGTCTCTGCTTTTGCTTCCATCAGCTATTGGATGAAGACTCTGGGATGGCATTAAGGTAGTCATCAGTATCATTATAGGGTAAGGGCATTTAAGGTAGCCTCTCCACTATTGCTTAAATTCTTAGTTGGGGGTCATATTTGTGGATGTCTGGATATTTTTCTAGTGCCAGATTTCTCTCTAAAACTATAGTGGCTCCCTCTATTAAGGTATCTCTTTCCTTGTTCTCCTCTTTCTCCTACCTCCCTTCCCCTGATGCTCCTAATTTGCTCAGGAGATCTTGTCCCTTTCCCCTTCTCTGGGGGACCATGTATGTCTCTCTTAGAGTCCTCCTTGTTTCCTAGCTTCTCTGGCAGTGTGGATTGTAGGCTGGTAGTCCTTTGCCCTATATCCATGCATGAGTGAGTGCATACCATTTTTGTCTTTTTGTGAATGGATTACCTCACTCGGGATGGTTTCTTTTAGTTCCATCCATTCGCCTTTGAATTTCAAGATTCCATTGTTTTTTGGCCTGAGTAGTACTCCATTATGTAAATCTACCACATTTTATCCATCCATTCTTCAGTGGAGGGGCATCTAGGTTGCTTCCAGGTTCTGACTATTGCAGATAATGCTGCTATGAACATGGTTGAACAGATGTCCTCGTTGTATGAATGAACATCTTTTGGGTATATGTCTAAGACTAGAATTGCTGGATCTTGTGTTAGATTGATTCCAATTTTCCTAAGGAATCGCCACACTGATTTCCAAAGTGGCTGTATGAGTTGGCACTCCCACTAGCAGTGGCAGAGTATAAATGGAGATTCACTGATACATAAGCTGATAGGGTTCGGGTGTATTTATTAGGTAAATGTGCCTTACAGTGCACCAAGCCAACCGCAGGAAGGCAGAGCAAATGGACCCAGAAGGGAGAAAGAGCTTTCCCACGTGTATCCCTGACTCTTGAGCTACACTCACATCATCCTGTCCATGCCCTCGAAAGAGTAGCCAGGTATACCTGTAGCCAGCCCCAGGAGTTGTGGTCAGGAAGACCCCTACAAAGGTGTGTTACTCTTTCTCTATATCCTCTCCAGCATAAGCTGTCATTGGTGTTTTTTATTTTAGCCATTCTGACAGGAGTAAGATGGTATATCAGAGTATTTTTTATTTGCATTTCCCTGATGGCTAAGCATGTTGAGCACTTTCTTATGTGTCTTTCAGCCATTTTAGATTCCTCCATTGAGAATTCTCTATTTAGATCTGTACCCCACTTTTTATTGGATTAGTTGGTGTTTTGATGATTAGATTCTTGAGTTTTTTGAATATTTTGGAAATCAGCCCTCTGTCAGATGTGGGGTTGGTAAATATCTTTTCTCCATTCTGTGGGCTGCCATTTTGTTTTGTTGACTGTGTCCTTTGCCTTACAGAAGCTTCTCAGTTTCAGGAAGTCCAATTTATTAATTGTCTATCTCAGTGTCTGTGCTACTGGTGTGATATTCAGGAAGTGCTCTCCTATACTAATTCATTAGAGGGTACCACCTACTTTCTCGTCTAAGAAGTTCAGTGTGGCTGGGTTTTATGTTGACGTCTTTGATCCATTTGGACTTGTTTTGTGCATGGTGATAGATATGGATCTATCTGCAATCTTCTACATGTCAACATCCAGTTATGCCTGAACAACATAAAATATCTTGGGGTAACTCTAACTAAACAAGACCTACATGACAAGAATTTTCAGTATTTAAAGAAAGAAATTAAAGAAATTTCCAGAAAAATTGGAAGATCTTGGATGGGTAGGATCAACATAGTAAAAATTTCAATCTTACCAAAAACAAACTACAAATTCAATGCAATCCCCATCAAAATCCCAGCACAATTCTTCACAGACATTGAAAGAACAATACTCAACTTTATATGGGAAAAGAAAAACTCCAGGATAGCCAAAACAACAGTGTACAATTAAGAAACTTCCAAAGGCAACACTATCCCTGACTTCAAGGTCTATTATAGAGCCATAGCAATGAAAACAGCTTGGTACTTCTACAAAAACAAACAGACAGGTAGACCAATGGAATCAAATTGAAAAACCTGATATTAATCCACACACCTATGAACACCTGATTTTTGACAAAAAAAAGCTAAAATTATACAATGGAAAAAGGAAAACATCTTCAACAAAAGGTGCTGGTATTCTGGCCTTTCAAAAATTGCATTTCCAATATTCTAATATAGGCTAAGTCAAGACCCTTCTTTCAAAGTTTCTTAATTTGGCTCAATATATGTTTTAAATTTTTGCTAATAATTTTAACAAAATTTGTAAGGTTTGAAGTTGTTAATAAGTTGAATCTCTCTCTCTCTCTCTCTCTCTCTCTCTCTCTCTCTCTCTCTGTGTGTGTGTGTGTGTGTGTGTGTGTGTGTGTGTGTGTGTGTGTAGAAGTTCTCATATGTGTCTGTGTGTACACAGGCATGTGCATAGTGGGGGAAGGAGAGCATCACTTTAGCATCACAAGAAAAATTTCAAGTGAAGCTGCATGTGAAGCTGCTAGATCAGTATCACTAGATGCTTCTAAACTATTACTTAATAAATATTTATTTGAAGAATTGGCTCTCTTAAGATTGTGACAGAATTAACTTCAACATCTGGAGAGTCTCAGTAGAATTGATTATAGGAATGAGCCTGATTACTCGGATTAATCATTATCTGGTGAAGGAAGAAAAGCTAAATCCCATTTTCCTTTTTCTTGCCAATTTTTTATGTCTCCATCTAGTGCTGAATAATCAATATGATCAGCTTATTTTATTCTTATTCTTGCTTTCATACAAACCTGTCCCTCACACTCATCTAGTGAATTCCTCTGTGGGAAGTGCTTAAATGAACCTTAGTTACAATTCAAGCAAAATATTGGGTCTTGAAACTATGCTGGAAATGGTTTCTTCCCAGTCTTTGATAGTCCCTCATATTATGATCAACACCTAGGAATTGGGGTGAATGAACAAATAATTGCAGTTGACATACACTATCTCTGACTCAATCTGTCAGAAGAGAGGTTTTAAGATACAATTTTAGTCTATTGTGTGGCATAAGCACTATAGCACATGAAAGGTTATATGTAGTGGAGAGATGAACAAAATATGACATATATTGTTTTTGTAGCCATCAGAAATAATCAAATAAAAACTTGTCAGCACATCAAGAAATCAATAACTCAAGCACATTGTAAATGCACATACATACAAACAATGAACAAAACAATTTTTAAAAGCAAAAACTCAAACAACAAGAATAGTAAGAAAAACATTCAAATAAATAAGAAATACTTTACTCTGAGCCAAATATGGGTGATCACAACCAGAGAAACATGAATTCTAGTCATTTTAATTCATATGAACCACAGTGGAAGGGTTTACATAGGCTTTCATATCTACAAAACTAACTCAACAAATATGTTAATTGATGCATTAGATAGGCAGGATACCAAAACACTATGGGATCATTTCTATAATTTCCAGATGTTATCATATTCTTAGTTTATAACTTCTTACAGTATGTAAGAAGTTAATCTAATACTCATAAGACTGTCAGGTAAAACATAGAAGTTAAGGTAACTTGTTTTAAAGAGTATCAGATAGTCTGATAATTTTGGTTCTTAATCTACTATTTATTCTATAAACATACTGTTCTAGCCAGGCAAGGTCAGTCTACAGAATCTTTAATATATACGTAGCTTCAGTGAACTTCAGTTAACAACAACCTAGAAGACTTTCTAAAAATCTTGATGAAAGCACTAATTTTGAGAAAAAAATGAATATAAATACAAACAATCCATTTCCAGGTGAAAATAGAGTTTGTATGAAAATGCTTGCCCTACTTCAAGAAAAATGAATTATCCAGTATGGCTTGGTGTATGTTGTAGGAAAGAAAAATTACAGAGTAGAATTTTGGCAAGTTCTCAGAGATAGTCCAATAGTTCCCAATTGGAAGATAGTTAATTCAATTTGATCAATATTTTGTGCAACCAACATTTATAAAGCTTTGTTCTAAACTTTCTCAAGAAATCATTGCTAAAAGGTAAATTTGTAAAGTGTCTACTGTTGGGAAGAATAAATGACAAATATATTAGTGTTGCAAGACTATCCTTCAACTATGTAATTTATAATTTATGACTTCCTTAATTGAGCTGGCATGTTCCATGAGTAGATGAAATAATAATTTAAGTTTCATGAATATATTCAACGGGACATTTTTGATAGCAGGAGTTCAAGATCAATGCATATAGAAATGTAATCAAGCCTTTAACATTGGACTATACACTTAACCATGATGTATCTACCCTAAAATAGTTTGTGTGTTTCAGAAGAGCCTTGCTCAAGGGTCCAGAGGTCTATTTGTCTTCTATGTTTTCTTATACAAGAATTGCATTATGCTAACATGTCTCCAATGGTGGTTTCACAGAAAGCAAAGCAATTTCTTTCAATTATTTCTCCTTAATGGAAAGTCTAACAAATGAGTCATTAAACACAGTGTAAGAAATATGATACATTAATGTGACTAAGTTTAGGGAAGAAAAACTCCATAAAAATCTATGAACAAATATATGATTATATCACTTCTCACATTTACACCAAGAGCTATTTGCTCTCTGGTACTCTTAACAAAAATCTTCGGGAAACTGAGATAAAGAGTTGATTGCTCATTACACAAAGAGCATTACTTATTCAAAGTAAGAGAATTTAATACCAGAGGGAGTATCATAGAAGAAAACAAAAGACTTTAGACTCACAGGGAAGCAAAAGTACCTTGTTATGGTCTTTGGGCAATGCTTTCTAATTCTTCTTTTTCGTTATCTTTAAATACAGAATCCCCTGCACCTACAACTGAGTTTAGAAAATTCACTAAGTTCTGATGCTGATGTCACTGTCTCAATCCTGGCCATGAACAACTGGTACAATTTTAGTTTGTTGCTATGCCAGGAAGACTGGAATATCACCGAGTTCCTCCTCCTTACTGAGAATAACTCTAAGTTCCACCTTGGGTCTATCATCAACATCACTGCTAACCTGTCTTCCACCAAGGACCTTCTAAGCATCCTGCAGGTCCAGCTGGAGCAAGTTAAGAACAGCACACCCACGATGGTAATGTTTGGTTGCGACATGGAGAATATCCGGCAGATTTTTGAAATTTCAACTCAGTTTGGGCTATCAACTCCTGAGCTTCACTGGGTTCTAGGAGACTCCCAGAATGTGGAGGAACTGAGGACAGAAGGCCTGCCCTTAGGGCTCATTGCACATGGAAAAACAACACAGTCTGTCTTTGAGTACTACGTTCAGGATGCCATGGAGTTGGTTGCAAGAGCTGTAGCCACCGCCACGATGATCCAGCCAGAACTTGCTCTCCTTCCCAGCACAATGAACTGCATGGATGTGAAAACCACAAATCTGACTTCTGGACAGTATTTATCAAGGTAGGATGTAAAGACTGGGTTACATTTTCATCCACAGAGCTGAGATAGCAAGTAAAATTTTTCTGTGCTGAAATCTTGATTCTGGGTAGTCAGGCGATAGTTCTGAGACAGTTAGGGGCAACAGAAGACTGGCATCTTATGATCTGTTATCTATATTTTGATCTGTAGTCTTTGCCCTGTATTGCAGAGACAGCACTCTGGTTAATTCTTCACTCACTGTTGAGTTCTTGGTAGATCATTTAAAAGCTTTGAGCCTCAATGTTCTAACAAGTAAATTGGGATAGCATAGAATAGCTTGATATAGTATAATAAATAGTCCGTGAAATTGTATATGAAAATAAATAATGCATGCTTGGCTCATAGTAGATAAAAGCAAGGAATATTTCCTTGTTCATTTTTCCCATATCCATAGGCCTGAAGAAATCTTTATAAATGCATAAAAAGAAAAAAAATAGTTTCATGAAAATGGACCTTTATCTACTAAAATTATTTAATTCAGTTTGGATTTTGGTTAAAAACAGAGACTTCAGAGCCACACTGAGCTAGAATCTTAGTCCTGCCTCTTGATTCCTGTATCACTTGATCAAGTTACTGCATTTCTCTTTCCTTGTTGTATGTTGTATGTCTGCTTATAGAAAATGAATATAAAAATTTAAAGATATAAGCATAGGATCTGGTTACTTGTGGAATTTTTGTGATAGATGACAGAAAATAGATGATACATGATGTGTGAATGATAGATCAACAGATCATATGGAGGCAATATATGGAAGATTGATAGATGATAGATAGATAGATAGATAGATAGATAGATAGGATATATAGAAGTAAGAATTAAATAAGAGTATTTTTCTAATATACTGTTTATTATTTTAAAAATAATTACACATGTCTATATTATAATTTGTACCTTTATTCTTTAGTATCTCAGTTGATTCAGAAGATGGGATGGAAAACTCCATCTAAAATAAAGGATAATCCCTCATATAGAAATATCCCTATAAGTACTCAGAAAGGGAAATGTCCTTAAATGATATTTTAGGTTACTTGATTTTTATTTAGAAAAGGATGACCTATCAGAGAGATCAGGTCAAAGAATGAGTGCTTTTTCAGAGGTAAATCATCTCAGTGGACTGAGATATATTTTAAGGCAATACTATTATCAAAGTGGCATTTGAATATGCAGAATATAGGACAATTTTATAATTTTCTTAAGAAAACACAAACATTTGGTAAAAGACAAGGAAGTCATAATAATTTTACACACAACTGTACTGAGCACTTACTATACACAAGCAATCTGCTAATGACCAAGTATGACAGAAGTTAAGAGAAAACACAGTCTTATAGGGAGAGAACCTGATTACATGTACTGCTGACCATGCCCATTTGGGCATGGTCATGGGTATGTAGAAGGGTGTAGATAAGGGCAAGGGAGAGTGGGCACTCTCTCTCTCGGGGTTGAGCCAGCATTGGGAAGCATTCTGGAACTGGACTGCTCATAGTGCCAATCTAGTTACTGATTTCTCGTGTGAGTATAACTCTCCAATAAATTACCAGTTAATAACATATCTCAGATTCCATTCGTGTTCATCAATACAGCCTAATATTGTTAGCAAAAATGTAAGTGGGTATGATGACACACACCTCTAGTCCCAGCAATTAGGTAGCAGAGCCAGGAGAAACTTTGAGTTCAAAACCAGCCTGGGCTGCTCAGTGAATTTCAGGTCAGCCAAGGAAACACAGCAGGACCTTGTTTCAAAAAAAAGTAATTCAAATTAATTTTTTGAAAATCTATTAGTGATAAAATTGCATCATCCTAACTTTCCATTTTCCCATATAGCATTTTAATCTTCATGAGATCAAACCATGTATATTTTACTTTGTGGCATTTGCACAGAGTTAACCCATTTGTACCATAGTACATAACTGAGGTTCAGGATTTTATTTAAGAAAAGAAAACTTCTCCTTTCTAAACACCATATGAGCGGAGCTTCAATTTATAATCTCGGTGTTTATTTGGGAGGGCAGTCATAGCAGTGGACAGGAGAAAACATGGCTGAAGATGGCATCATGCCATCTAGAATGCTCTCATCTCATGTAAAATGAACAACACAAGAGAAAAACATATCTGTTGGGTTCTAAAGAAGTTTAGCAGAAAAAATAGGAATATTTGTTGACTTGGATTGTATATACCTTGGGCATCCATTTTATCAAGGTCAAATGATCTTTCCTGCTTCCCAAGGATTAATTTACAGTAAAATCCCATTTCTCAGGCTGTTAAGATTGCTCAGTAGGTAAATCAGTATCCATCAAGACCAAGACTTGAGTTACATAGTAGAAGAAGAGAACTGGCTCCTGCATATTGTCTTCTGACTTCCATAATTGCACAGTAGCATACACATACATACACACACACACACACACACACACACACACATGCTTGTGCACATGCAAATACACATACATGCATTTGGACAAGTACACACACTAAATGTAATTTTAAAACTTTTAAATCTTCCTCCATGAGGATCCCATGGCACTTCTTATACTGAATTCTACAGTGGTACTTACCTATTCTGTCCTCACTGGCCTGACTTCTGAGGAGAATATTCCCATTAAGCTGAAACACCATTATTCAACCTAGTCCAAAGCCTAGCATCTAACATGCTTAATAGACAGTTACTGAAATTTATTTCCAGAGAAAGAAAACTTTATATTGTATTTGTGTCTTCTACTATCATTGACTATATGGAAAATGGGTGGTTGGTGAGTAAATACCTTCTAAACTAAATATAAAATTGTAATTTGCCTAGCTATTTATGCTCTGGTTTTCTTCTTTCTTTTATTTCTTTTACTTTTGTCTCTCTAGTGGAAGGCTCTGTCCTCATGATTGTTCCCACATATTTTATTTTACAAAGTTTGAAAGTTATAAAAGAAACGTATGAGGTTTGGAGACCATCAGCAGTTCACAATGCATAGGGGTCAGTGACAATATTTTCATCCCCGTCAGGGAGGTATGAGAAATAAGCTCAAAGAACTTCAGAAAATATGCCTAGGACTTTTTTAAACTCCCAGAGGGATACAGTCAAAGAAAAAAATTCAAAGTGTCAAGACAGGGTCAGGGGAAGTGGGCAAATCCCCGGAAGGTGTCTTTATAATGAATAACTTAAAGGTTGCCTCAAGCCACAAAACAGCTGTGGATTTTCCATCATCCTTATTTATTTTGTTTAACTCATCTTTTAGAAAGTTAGTTATTCTCAGTCCATAAGTCACATCTGCATACAGCAATTTTCTTAATTGTCCCTAAATTTTGTGAGGCTGACCCCTCTCCCTCGCTGCATAACAAAAGCCAGGGGGATAATGAGCTGTGACTAGAAGGAACCAGAGTTATGCAAGCTTTCATTTCTCACACAGTCATTTTCGGTTTGGGCTGACAGAATTGTTAACATTTTAAAATGTTAATGAAATCACCCCAAACATGACATTTTCAGCACAGGCTTTTAAACTAGGAAAATAATTTCTTGTGGCAGATACACAGGCATAATTACAGGTATAAGGGATTTAATTCTTCTCGGTTGCCCACAAGCCAGAGCAAACGTCCATCATGACTCAATGTAGACAAAAGCACTAGAGGACCAAGGTCATTGTGTTATCTTTAACAATGTGTTAGAAAGTTGTTTTACCAAATGTTAATTGTTTGGGGCAACTGTAGGAGGCACATTATTGTGACAATACCTCCATGAATGCACATCTGTGAGTTTCTATCCAGTCAATGGCCATTTCTTGAATTAGGTGGTGGAAGTAGATACAATGAATACTTGAGTTTGTCATGTTACAGTTGACAGGATAATACATAAAGGGAAGTTATAAAATTCTGGGGTACATACTTTATGCCCCTTGAGAAAGAGTCTTCCTATGTAGTACTGTCTTGGAACTTCCAGTCTTCTGTTCTCAGTTTCCCATATGCTGGAATGACAGGATTGCACCTCTGTGCCTAGAGGGATAGGCACTGTTTCAAATACACAAAAAAGAAATTCATTAACATTTTCAGATATTTCATGGTATACTTTAATAAATAAATATAAGTTTTCATATTTAGTATAACTGGAATTTTCTTTGGGCTGCCAACCAGCTACCAAAAAAAGATATGAAGACTTATTATTAATTATGAATACTCGGTCCTAGCTTAGGCTTGTCATACTAGCTCTCTCAACTTAATTTATCCTGCTTCTATTCACTTACACCTATTTTGCCTTGGGGCTTTTTACCTCTCATTCTGTATATCCTACTTTCAGGTTTCCTCTGTGTCTGGTTGGCTGGCCCCTCACATCTCTTTTTCTTTCTTTTTCAAGCCTAAATTCCTCCTCCTACTTACTCTCTGTGCCTGGAAGTCCCACTTGTACCACTGCCTCACCACTGACTGTTGAGCTTCTTATTAGACCAATCAGGTACCTTAGGCACGCAAGGTAAAACAGCAACACATCTTTATATAGTTAAACAAATATTCTGCAACATAAAACAAATGCAACACATCTTTACACAGCTAAACAAATACAACACATCTTTGCATAATTTAACAAATATTCTGCAACATTTCCTCCCTTTTTCTAAATAAAAGAAATGTTTAAGTTTTAACATTGTAGGACTATATATAATAGAACAATTATCAGGTAAGAATTATATTTACAATATCCAGTCCATTTGCATTTGGAAAATTCAGAGAAAATACTTCATTATGTATCCTATCTTGGTGAGTTCAAAGTCATGTACCTAGCTTGCCATCTATCCTAACTTGTATTACCAACCCAAATTATCTTTTTAGACTTCAAAACACTTTCTTAGATAAATAATTTGAGCTTTTATGTTTCCCAACCGTATACATTTTGCATCTCTTATGTAAGTTTCTTTTCTGATTTTGGTAACAAGAAATACTATAACTGCCTTGTCTTCAGTTTCATCAGAGACCTGAGAAGAATATAATATTACCAGCATAAACA